CAGACGCTTAACCGACTGAGCCACCCAGGCGCCCCATGATTTAGGTTTTGATTTTTCATTCCTGTGAGCTTGCTCTCTCTTTAAAAGTTGAGGTAATGGTGAAAAGACCCATTTGAAAGGAAAGCAGTCGGGCACCGTGTCCACCTGCCTCTTAGATGTCCTCCCTTTGTGTATTCCTTCTGCTCACGCCTGCGGGGCAGAGTGTGTATAATTTATAATTATAATCAGAGAAATGTGTATTATTTTCTGATTAGAATATGCTTGTGGTTTTCTCAATAATGACACATTGTGGAATATATGCAAAAAATGATAAGACAATATTGAAATAATATGTTGCCATGAGCCATAATAATTATGCTCACCGACATCTGCCGCACATTTATCCGGTGCCGTGTGTCTGTCTGGGAATGCACCTATGGGGTATAGGTTCTGTGATTGTCCCCGTGTTTTGGATAAGAGGCTGAGAGAGGTAAAGTGCCTTATCTGAGCATACACGGCGAATGGGGCCTGTGGCCTGTAGGGTGGCCTAGAGGTTTTTTTCATTAAGTGCTGCCATTTCAAAATGAGATTTCACTAAAAATGCAGGGATTCCAAGCTGGGTCTACTCTGGAGTTCGGGGTTTGCAGGAATGAAACGGACAGCACTGTGGTGCCACAGAGGGGAAGTCTGTTCTGGCCACAGAACGTGCCCAAGACGGCTCGGGTTACAGTAGTCACGTAGCTGAAGGCCCCACAGACCCTGGAGTGAGCAGGCAGTGCCCCCTAGACCCCATGGGCTTTTTTCTTCCTTGACCTGCTGTCCACAGAGCTCTAGGAGCCGGGTGGTGTGGAGGTCCCCCCAGACCAGGGGTGAGGCCACCCGTGGGCCATCTTGCTGAAGAGGACTTTGGGGAAGTCCTGCCTGGCGGGTCCTGTTTGCTCTGCCTGGAGCCCAGAGGAAGGGGGCAGGAAGGAGGGAGAGTTTTTAAGTGAGTGGCTGTTATAGGGACATCCCTCTGCTGAGAAGCTGCCAACCAAGAGAATATTGGGTGGTGGTGTTTTCTGGCCAAAATGTTGTGCAGTCCTGGGGAAAATCTCAGCTACATTCCAGCGGAGGGGGATCTGCAGAAACCTGACCATCTTCCTCCCCATGTTGTGCGACGTGGTGCTTTTCTCTCTCAGAGGCCCCCCCGGGGCGGGGTATGGGAAGTAAAGGAGAGATGTGGGGGCTGGGGAGGCGGTGCTGTGGTTGAAGTGGGGAGCACGGCACTGTCTGAAGAGGCCACGGTCTTGTGTGGGTGCCCAGAATGGTCAGATCGTCTGAATTGGTTTTTTTTTTTTTCAAGAGCAAAATCTGCATTTTTAGGTGAAATCTCATCTTGAAACGGCAGCAGCTGATGAAAAAACCTCCAAAAAAGCCACCCCACCCTATAGGCCACAAAACAGGCCTGGTCTCTAGGGTGAGGCCAATGGCTTTAAAAAAAAAAAAAAAAATGGTAAAATATGCATATTACAATATTGATCATTATAACCGTTTGTAAGTGAACCCTTCAGTGGCATTAAATCTCTCACAGTATTGTACCACCATCGTTACCACTATCCATTTTCAGGACATGCTCATTTTTCGAAACAGAAGCTGTGTCCCCATTAAATAGTAACACCCCCCACCCCGTCCTCCCCCACGGCCTCTGGTAACCTGCGTTCTTTCTGTGTCTGAATTTGCCTATTCTATGTACCTCATGTAGGTGGGATTATGTAATACTGTCCTGTGTTGGGCCTGTTTCACTCAGCATCATGTGTTCAAGGTCGATCTGTGTTGTGGCGTGGGTCAGAGTTCGCTGTGACGCCGTGTCACTGTATGTATGAGTAGACCACGTTCTGCTGACCCATTTGTCTGTGGATGGACCTCTCTGCCTTCTCTGAAGAAGCATTCTGCCCCAGCAAATACTTAGATCATGACTATCCTTTATTGCAAGGATCTTAATTCCGATTGTGCTGACCGATGGCTGAGCACTAGGGTATGGAATAAGGGGTACATGGCCTTTGAGGGCAGTGGGGGAGGCAAACACATGCTTTCGCGGAGAGAGCAGTGGTGGTGGGGTTGCCCGGGGTGCTGTGGACGCCGTGGGCACTGGCGCTTGGCTTCCCCGGGAGAGACTGCAGCTCAGTCTCGAAGGATGAGCTGCCCAGAGCGCCTGCCCCGTGTCCTTCATTCCCTTGGCGGAGGAGGAACACAGAGATCTGAAACCACGTAACCATGAACCAGGAGCCCTGGTTCTAGGCTCGGCTGCCTGGGCTCAGCTCTGCCTTCCCCTCCCATAGCTGTGCATACCGGGGCCAGGGCCTGAGTGTCCTCACCTATCCAGCGGGGTGGGGGATGATCGGACCTGTGGCATAAGCTTGTTATCTGGATTAGACCAGTCCAGACCTGCCAGGTGTTTTGAGTGGTGCTTTGCATACAGACAGTGCTCAGAAGCAAGGGCTGTCATTCCTCCCGGGGGCGGGGTTGTGAAAATGGGCCTGTGGAGGCTGGAACAGGTCGTGCGGGACCTTCAGGCCGGCTGTGCTTGCTTAGATGCTGTCTGGAGGCACAGGGGGAACAGGGACGAACCTTTGTGGTGGATGTGACCCTGCAAAGATCTCACCTGCGTAGGACTTTTCCTTGGCCTCCCAGGAAGCTGGTCACCCTGTCTCCGCTTAATGACCTTGAGCTTTTCTCCTCGAAAGCATCTCTTTTATTATTGGAGTGTGCCAATTGTTGTTTAAGGACTGTGATTTTGTGACTCCTCTTCCTGCCTTTGGACAAAACCCGTTCCTTCTCTGGGCCTCAGTTTCCCCATCTGATGGTGTTGGGCTGGCTAATTCCTAAGGGTAGTCCCAAGCACCTGTGCACTGGAATTCTGTGGCTCTTAGTGGGTGCAGTTTTACTTATGTACACCCACCAGAGATGGACAAAATGTGAAAGTGAAGGAGAAGGGCTCCCTCTCATTTCTCTTGGGTTCCTGGACCAGGAGAAGAGACTCCGTGAGAACCCTCTTCCTGGGGATGTGCCTTTCATCAACTGCCATTTTGTGCTTCGCCTCTCACTCCTGGCATGAGTTGGGAAGAGAGCTGGGGATGGAGACTCTATGGCCCCAGCTTGATACGTCCTGATCCCTTTTCCAGATGCTTCTCCCTTTCCTCCCAATTATGAGACTCCTGAAAATGGTCCTTTCTTTTCAGAGTGGGTCAGAGTCCTGTGGGGAAATGAGCTGAACTGAAGGGACCCAGATATTATTGGTGACAGAACTCAGTTCAGCCAATGAGAGCCCGGGAGGAGGTGGTACACCGGATATCAACACATTATTGTTTATCGTCTGTTTCCTCGATTCATTTATCACTGGATCTTCTGACTTAGAGCTTGCACTGCAGTTAGTGAATAAGAATGCCCTTCTTGAGATGGACCCACGCCTCGCTCGTAACCACCACCCGAAAGACAGACGTATGTCTCTGGTGGATGACTTTTGACCTGTCTTTGATAAAGGGGTGAGAAGTTTCTCTGACTGGTTCTGTCCAGGGCCTTTCACGTGGAAAGTACTGTGTCTTGATGACACAGTGTTGGATGTTGGGGAGATGGTGGTGACTTGAACTCGGTCCCTTCCATCATGGTGAGAGTTGGTACCTTGACCACATTTTCCCTCTTCCCTTTTGACAGAAACCCATGTCTCCCTTAATCATTTCAGGAGTCTAATAGAACTCTAAGGCCACGACTTGCAGACATACTCATTACTCAGGGCTCCAGCTAGCTCATTGCCTATGTGTTGTTAAGATCATCTACACCGCATCAACTTTGGTAGCAATCACAGGACTTTATTAATTATTATTTGGGGAGGTATGTTCTATACTAGGAAGTTCAAATAATGCTTGGAAACCAGATTTCTTTGTGTGAACCTTAAGAGCCAAGCCTATAGATTCATATCTAACCTATCACCGAAGATGTTAATAGTTGTGCTTAAAGCAGGGGAGAGGGGTTCTGTGGCCAAATGTTGGGACATGGTGCTTACCCCAGCCCACCTTGGAGAGTTACACTGCCTGTGAGCAGATTAAAGGCTCTGAGAAGTCCTGCAGTAAAGAAACCTATTTGACATTGACTCAGCGTTTTCCAAATGCTTATTAGCTTTAGAATTTGTTTCTTGCCCTCATAAACCCATTTAATATTCTTCAGAGCCAGCCTTCCACAAAGCACCCTGGAAACACTTGTGGAAATGATTTGTTTCAGCCGAAAACGGCCCAATGGCCAATGTAGATGGTCAGAAAAAGAAATCTGTTATTTGCAAATGCAGAGTTTCATTTGACTCGTTGGCCCCAAACTGAGGAACTAGTGCACTTCTCCAAGGAAGGAGAGTTCACTTCTGAGCAAAACCTCTCATCGATTCTTGTAATGAGTCATGTGAAATCCAGACCGCTGACTGGAAGGTGGGGGGTGGGTTCCTACGTTTCCACCCTCTCCAAGGGCTCAAGAGGTAGGACATTGTTTCAGGCTCTTAGGGTGGAATATGTGAGCCACTTGTGTTCTCAGACAATCGAGAAGCCATGTCGGGGGCAGCCAGTGATCTGTAATAGGGCCCCTGTGACCTTCTTGGCATGTGCAGGACACCTTGGAAATAGTCTTTGGTTGAACAAAGCGTATAGTGAAGTGTCATGTATAACGGTCTATCTTTTTTTAAAGAAAGATACAAGAGACATTCAAACGTAATAGCAGTGGGATGATGGGCAATTTCTGTTCTTTTCCTTTTCCTTGTTACCTACTGGTGCCCAGGATTCTACTGTTGATATACATTCCCATTGGAAAAAGAAATATACACAAATATAAATAAAAATACACGTATGTTCAAATAGACACACATAACACAAACACACGTATACACCTTGCTGAAACGATAGAATGCGTAAACTAAGATAAATATAAGTTGGTGAGTTTTGGTCTTAAATCTTTGGTTTCTAATAGTTCCTTCAAAGTGTGTCCTTTTTTAATTTTTCCAGATGGGCAGCAAATTTGGGAGATGGAAGCTACGGTGGATAAAGACAAGAGCCAGCCTGTAAGCACCTGGACAGGATGACTGAGCGCCCTGTCATGTCCCCCTCCCACCTCCCTCATGTTCTCTTTCCTTCCTTTTTTCCTCCTTCATCCAAGTCCCAGGGCTTTGGAGCTAACAGGCACTCAGTAGGTATTGAATGGAAACATCAATTGAACATTTATAGAGCACCAGGCCCTCTGATTTGTAACTGTGGCATCGTGATAGACTTTGGGAGAGTAAGTGACAATCCTTTGTTCACCCACAGCTGGAAGGTCAAGTGCCTCTTAGATAGAATCTTGCCTATAAACGTACAGAACGTGTCTTGACTCCTTTGAGAGGAGCTGGCTTGATGTGCTTGGGGCCTTGCGTAGGAATGTAGGCATTGTTGCAGTTAAGTTGATGATAGCTCCTTCCTTCCAGAACATGCTTTTTGTTGAGATCCCTGAGTATCGAAACAAGCACATCCGTGCATCGGTGAAGGTGAACTTCTACGTCATCAATGGGAAAAGAAAACGAAGTCAGCCTCAGCACTTTACCTACCACCCAGGTAAGAAATCTTCTCTGGAGGCCCCTTTGGTGTTGAGAGGTGAGGTAGGACATTATCCTCAGGTGAGGACACATGAGGTCTGCTCCCAGCTGGGTGACCTTGGGCAGGTGACTCAACCTCTTGGAGCCTCCATTTCCTCATCTGTCAAATGGCACCTTCCTTATAAGACTTAAAGAAATCAAATGCACATAACATGCTTAGCACAGCGCACGGTAAGCAGATATGAATGATATTAGCTATTACTAACATTTTTCTTCTGAGGGGGAGGCAGATGAGGAGGGAGGCATGCGTGGACTTGTTCAACAACAACATGACCTCTGTACGTGTCTTAGATTTGCTCCTGATCGGGGGACTGAACCCTCCCTGAAACCTGCAGGATCTGTAGTGGACCCCGCTGTGGGTAGTCACGCTGCGGCCCTGTGGATTCCTGAGTAGATAGCCAGGCCAGGAGGTCTCATTCCCACAAAGTACTACAGCTGCCCAAGGCTGACACAGGCCTACCAGTCACCTTTCCAGGACTGGAAACCTATAATCCGAGACTATCATCCAGAGTATAATTTCTACCCTGTGACAGTGTCACGTGGAGCCTCTCATGCCGGAAGCATGAGACCAAGGGGACCGTCCTGGGAGCCCAGGCTTGACGGGGCTTGGCTTTGGTGGAGTGTATCCAGAGGTTTGTCTGGTCTCTCTGGCCGTGGCACCATCCCAGGACTGACGTGATAAACCGTGAGTGGCAGGGGCCTGCGGGGGCCCAAGACTATGGGAGACAAACTCTGGGAAGGTTCTAGACAGCAGCTCAGTGATCCTTGTGTTCTATGGCACTCTCACCTCGTGCCTGTGGTCAGGAGGCCTCCCTGGGCCTGGCGTTGGCCTCTGCCTGTCTGAGCATGGCCTGAGTAAGAATTCAGTGCCCCTGCTCGACCAGGGACTGAGATGACGGGCTTTGAAGGGCACCTTGAGAAACGATTCCTGGTTGGCATCCGAGCTGCCTTTGGCGGCCGAACCTCCTTGCTGCCTCTACTTCCTGATGCCTGGCGGTTCCCTGAACTTGATTAGCGTCCTGTCCCCACTACATTCGCTCCAGCGAGGAAACTGGGTCCTCAGCTCCTGGGGCTGGCAATGTTTTAGGAAAGTGCTGGGGGAGGACAAGGTCTGGAGACCGTCCTGGGTGCGGAGATGAGCAGGTGTGGTACCAGTGCTGGTGGGAAGATGATTATAGTAACAACAGCAAGCCCTGAGTGCTTACTGTATGCCAGTCTCTGTGCTAAGTACCTTTCACACATCTCATTTCATCTTCCTAATAACCCCATGGGGACAGGGGGTGTGCTTGTTAGTGCCAGGTAACAGATGGGGAAACTGAGGCCCAGGCCAGCAGGTCTCGTTTCCCCCAGAATGCTACAGAACTAAGGAGATGGATCCACCCCCATTTGGTCATTTCCTGTTTCCTGAAAACCTCTGAGTGTCAATTGAATGCTAGTTGCTGTTTTAGGTGCTCAGGGACACAGCACTGAACAAAACAGACCAGAAAAATCCTCCCTTAGAGGAGCCGACAGTCCAGTGGGGGTGGGTTGTTCAGATAATAAGTAAGCACAGGAAAGATACAGATTATTTCAGGTGGTGATAAGCGTTACCAAGGACAGCAAGCAGGGAAGGGGGACAGGAGCTGCTAGGGCGGAAGGGGGGGATGACAGAATTTTCAGTCAAGCCTTCCTCTCTGAGCTCTGCCCCTGGGAAAAGCCCGAGAACATCCCAGGGCTGAGACAGACCTACCAGCCGTCTCCCCGCTATTGGAAAGACGTGCGGTTCACGATCATCGTCCGGGGTCAAATTTCTCCCTACGACAGTTACACAGGGAGGCTCTCGTCCGAGGCTAAGACATGACGGAGCCCAAGTGTCTGCTCCCATCTCCCGGGACTCCCGAGGCCACGTTCCCAGCCACAGCCCACTAACCCTCTGCGCACCCCCATGGCTCACTAAGAAGGGTGCACCCCGTGTGCTTCTCTCTCTCCCAGTCCCAGCCATCAAGACGGAGCCCACTGATGAATATGACCCCACCTTGATCTGCAGCCCCGCCCACGGGGGCCTGGGGAGCCAGCCTTACTACCCACCGCACCCGATGGTGGCTGAATCGCCCTCCTGCCTCGTGGCCACCATGGCACCCTGCCAGCAGTTCCGCTCGGGGCTCTCGTCCCCCGATGCCCGCTACCAGCAGCAGAACCCGGCGGCTGTCCTCTATCAGCGGAGCAAGAGCCTGAGCCCCAGCCTGCTGGGCTACCAGCAGCCGGCCCTCATGGCCGCCCCCCTGGCCCTGGCGGACGCCCACCGCTCCGTGCTGGTGCACGCCGGCTCCCAGGGCCAGAGCTCCACCCTGCTCCACTCCTCCCCGGCCAACCAGCAGGCCTCGCCGGTGATCCACTACTCGCCCACCAACCAGCCGCTGCGCTGCGGCAGCCACCAAGAATTCCAGCACATCATGTACTGCGAGAACTTCGCGCCCGGCCCCGCCAGGCCCGGCCCGCCCCCCGTCAGTCAAGGCCAGAGGCTGAGCCCGGGGTCCTACCCCACGGTCATTCAGCAGCAGAATGCCACCAGCCAAAGAGCCGCCAAAAACGGACCCCCGGTCAGTGACCAAAAGGAAGTATTACCCGCAGGAGTGACAATTAAACAGGAGCAGAACTTGGACCAGACCTACTTGGATGATGGTAAGACGCTTGCTTTTTCTCGTTGCCCGTAAGGACGGGGCCCCCGAAGCATCCCCCCCGCCCCGCTCCCCTAGCAAGTTCACTGTGTGGCCTGGGTATCTTCCTTCATCCCTTTGGGCCTCCGTGTCCCCCTCTTTAAGGGGGTTGAAGAAGAGAACCTTTTAATGCCTCACCTGACCCTGTGCCCGAATCCTTTCCCAGCAGGACTTTTGGGGCGGCTGGTAAGAGGTTTAGAGGTTTTGCTACAACCAGTGCAACAGAAAGAGCAAATGAGGGCAGTTCTGGCCAAAGGAGTGTCCCCAGGGTCATGAACTGGGGCGGTTTAACCGCTTCCACTGTCTTTGCATTGCCAAGTAGAGACCAAGAATAGATCAACTAAAGGGAAGGAAGGCGAACCTTTTATTACTGGAGAGAAAAAAAAAAAAGTCCTGCTTGCTAGCCCTCTTTTGTGTATCTGGGGGAGGGTGAGTGGAGAGAGGGAAGGAGCAAGCTCGCTGAAAAGTGGAGCATGAATGGGGGGCTTGCAGGCAGACTCCGGGCATATCTGTGCCATGGAGCCGCGGAACAGAGAGGCGCATTGACGGGAGGGAAACAGCGGGCTTCCGTTGTGGTGAGCCGGGCTGCTGGGGTGGTTGGGCCAAAGGAAAAGACTCAGGGCGGCTTTGTGTGAGTCTGTAGGTGCCTGAGTTTGTGGGCGCGGGTGGCGGGGGTCGGGAGGGGGGACCAGCAGCTGGAGGGTCGTCTTGGCGGAGTGGCGGGTGCGACGGTGGTCTGTGATCTCAGGAAGGAGGGGCCCGCTGTGCTAGAGGACTCACCTGGGATCAGCCAGGTGCCCCTGCAGGATAGAGAGGGCGGGGCCAGCAGAGCTGCCCCCCCCCCCCTGGGGAGGGCGCCAGAGAAAGGAAAACAGGTGGTGTTTCTTAGTAGAAAGAAAACCTGCACCCCTGGCTGCCATCTGCAGCTCCAGCTTCACCTTTTATAGGCAGCAGCAAGTGATATACCCTGAAACGTCAATTACTTCAGAAAATTTACTTTCGGGAACCCAGCCAAGTAATAGGAAGTAAGGCCAAAAGCTTCCAAATGGCCACAGCAGTTATCATAAAAACCAGATACTGAGTATCCGACACTTCGGTGGCAGGAATCTTCTGGTACTTACTCAGAGACTGTTGACTTTTACTTTTTGCGAAGTTTTGACAATCTGGGTGATCTGGGGGTTCCAGGATTTCTGGTAGTTTCTACATCCTCTCTCTAGTAAAACTATTGATCACAGACTTCCCCCAAGGTGCATCAAGCAAAGATGTCTTGGGCCGCTTAGTATAGAGTCAAACTGTCCTTGCAAGGCTGACCTCAGGGTGTTGCTGTGTTAATAATTGATCTGTCTCATCCTGAATATTCAGACACAGGTTGAGTTAGGGTCACTGTGATCGGTTTTAAGAGGGAGCCCCACGTGCAATCCATCCTTGAACAATTAACACTCCATATGGTGAAGATAAAATTTTGGTTGCTTATTTGAAAGGGGGCTATCTTGTAGAAAATCCATTTCATGCATAATGCCGAATGCGAGCGGATAAATGAAATGTGGCTGTAACCAGACCTCTCTCCACACACGAGCTTGGGGGATGTATCACGGATGAGGTGCTTTCTAAAAAAATGTCTGAGCAGGCCCAGGTAACTTGCCCTAGCTGACTCTGTGTCTGGTGGTTGGTTTGGTCTCCCAGAGCTAGATGTGTGCCAGCCCCTCCCACCTGTCTGTCATTCCACGTTAAAGACAAACAGTGAGGGTCTCTGTTAGAGATGGCGAGTTAGTCCGTGCCCTGGCTCTTAGGGATCTATCAGTATCCAGTTGGTCATGACTCACCTTTGAGGGTCCATCATGGCCCTAGACCCACAGAAGTGCTTCCTGTGTTCACAGAAGCCTGAGTTGCGGACAAAGCAGCTGAGGATAGAGACCCTTTAGGGCCTCCTGAAATGCCTTTCTGAACGCAGGCAGGTTCAAAGTCATGGTGAAAGTGAGCTCTTGGCAGGTCAGTAACATGATTCGGCCCTAAGGATGTCTCGGAGAACTGAGTGCAGTGAAATTGCTTCTCCTGATGGAGCCTTTTCTTGGATACTTTCTGCACAAGCCCAACTCCATGGGATTTTAGGAGATATTCTCTGAAGTGAGGGTTCCATGGCTTAAAAAGGTAGAAAAAAAAAGAATCTGTAAAACCAAGTTTTAAAAAACTTGTTTACTGCAGGAGCCTTTACTGAGACACTGTATTTAGACATTATCAATCTCTAAAACGAGAGATGTAGTCCTTTCTAGAATTACTCAGTCACACGTAAGAGAACGTGCAACTCCAGGGGGTGCCGGTCACACCGCATTTTATTATTCTCTCTGTGACTGGAATCCTGGAGTGGTACAATATAGGCAGGCCTGGAACCCCTGTTCCGCAACATTCTGGGGAAATAACCTTGAGGGAATTTCGGAGTTCAGAAGCCCAGTACTGCCCCCATCCCATACGCCTGTACTCATGCTTCTTCTGAGTTCTTTGGCTTCATGTGGGGCCAGAGCAGGACAAGGCAAGAGAGTAATTTCTACCTGTGTGGCTTCCAAAAGGCAGCGAGGTGGCTACTGGGTAGATGTTCAGTACTTGACCGGCAGTGTCCCCAAGCCTCTGTACAACCCAGGTCCAGCTGGCGTGGCCAGCCGTGCCCCGTGTAAGCCCCAAACAGCACCGCCACTGCGGCTCCCAGGAAGAGGTGTGTGCCCTTGGTCTCCTGACCGCTGAGATTTCAGACCCCTCCAATGGAACATGCTCGGATTCCACTGTTGGCTTCGCGGATGTGAGATTCAGACTTCTCAGTTGACTTCTGACAGGCAAACTGGAAATCCCTGGGTCATTTCTCTAGTCCAGTTGGGAGACATCCTGGGTTGGGAAGCTCTTTTTCTGTGCCTTTCACGGATTACGCCAAGGGGGCCCTGCCCACGGAAGCCATATCTGGCTGCCCAGCCAGGAATCGGCCTGTGCTTCCAGTGTGCGGGGATTTCTCACATGCCTTTCATGGGCCTTGGGATTTGGGCAGAGTGTGCTTTCCTTGGAAAGTTCGAGAGAGCAGGCTTAAGTGTTTCGAGGGTCAAGGGAAGGTTCCTCAAGCTGGAAAAGGAAGGGGTCCCCAGCAGACTCAGGTCCACACATAACAAATCATCTTTGAAGTTGAACGGGCCACTTGACTGTGATCCCTGGAAGCCCCCACATTTGGGTTTCTTTTCCTGACCCTTCAAGCATGGTCCAGAGGGTCCTGTCCGGGCCTTCCACCTGACTCTGTCATGTTGCATTCCTGCACATAGACCGTCTGTCTGGGCCCCACTTTGTCTTGGAACTCTAAAATGCAGCTTCTGCTTTCCCCACTCCAAGGACTTGAGACATTTTCAAAAAGTCTCATTTTGAGCTGGCAACATAAGTGAAATTCCAGAGCCACGTGCATCCCCACCCCTTCCTCTCCCTACGCTCCTCCACCCACACCAGGCACTTTCCGTAGTTTTTCAGAAAGGTAGGCTTTGCACACGCACTCCCCTGTTTTTTCTCTGCCCTACAACTTCCTTGTTCTGAAGTCCCCGGTTTTACCTGGAAAACACCAGCAGTGAATGAATTCTTCCCTCCTTCCCTTCCTGCCTCCACCCTCTCTCTCTTGTTAGCCCTCCCTGCCGGTAGGCTTCCCTCCTTCCCTCCTTCCCTCTGCCCCTCCATCCTGACCTTCCTGCCCTCCCCCTGCAGCTCCCTCCCACCCCTAGGTAGTGGCTGGTTACCTACTGTGTGCGTGGCGCTGTTCTGGGACTTGGGTACACAGGCGAACAAGTCAGACGAAGTCCTTGCTCGTGTGGGGTAATTTTTCAGTAAAGGAGATAGACATTAGTATGTAAGGTAATAAGCATATTTCAGATGGTGATAAAAGGCCATGAGGGAAATTCCACAAGGTTAGGAGCGAAGAGTGCGGCCGGACGGGGGTGGTGTTGGCCCCTGAGACCCAGTGCACGGAAAGGCGGCTGTGGGGAGGTGGGGAGAGCGTTGGCGGGTTTTTGGCAGTGCAGTGTGATTTGATTTACCTTTTAAAAAGATGACTCTGACTGTGTTTGGAAAAGGGACCACAGGGAGGCAAGAGTCGGCCAACGGGGGCTTTACTTTGTTTCAGACAAAGCCGGATACAAAGAGCGAAAATCTGGCAGCAGGCAGGTTATGGAGGGGTGACGCATTTTACAGAAGGTTGCGTGACACGTCCTCTCACTAGTGCGACTATTTAAAATGTGACTGGAATTGTCAAAACGGGACTAGTTCACAAGTAGCTCTTGGATTGCCGCTGCCTGGGACGATGGGGGGGCGGGTGGCCGTGCCTCATCGGCCCAGGGCACTTGGATCCGGCAGGTAGGGAGGGTGTGTGCCGCACAGGCCCAGGCAGGGGAGAGGCATGGACAGGCTCCGGCTGGGTGCCACCCATAGCACAGTCTCTGCAGAACCAGGGGCTCTCGGGTCATCAGGCCATCTCACCACAGGCTCCGCATGGCAGGCCTATGCCATCCGCCTCGAGATTCAGCCCCAGACGAGAGGACTGAGGGACAGGGGGAGGCTTGGGACTCTCAAAGGAGTTCCTCGATCCCATTCTGGAAATGTCTTGGGGAGAAAGGATGTGGTCTCGGTGACGCTGGAGCGTCCGCCAGTGGCTCGGGAGGACAGCAGATGGTGTGCGCATGCGCATGCGTGTCTGTGAGCGTTCCTACAGGTGCAAAGAGCAGAGACCAGTCTGGTTTTGGATCTGCGTCTCTGGTCTTCGTGTGAACTACTTAAAAAATCATTTATTATAATACATTGAATGAATTTGAATCTCTCTCCACATATTTCAGTATCGAGATACACGCACATTCAGAAATGAGTCGCGTACTCTGATTAACCACTTGGACCATGCATGACATGGAATCATGGTAGCACCCCAGCAGCCCCCATGGGTCCCCCCTCCTCTGTCCC